GCGGCGGGCGCCACGTCGAAATGGCCACTTTGAAATTGCTCAGGCCTGTGCGAAACCCGCCACCTCAAGAACCTGCAGTGTCTTGTGTCTGGACCTCTAGGCCATGTCTGGTGGGGTGAAAGGACACTTAAAAATCACCCCGTTATTTTTCGAGGGGCAGCTAGGACCCGGCAAATGTCCTGGGCCGCCCCATTTTTTTTTTGATTTTTGCCCCAGGGACCTCCATCCAGACATGGGGACCGGACACCGGACACCAGACACCAGACACCAGACACCAGACACTGGACTGTCTGGAACCCAGTCCGGACGTCCGGGCGGTTACCATGGTATGTTCTCGACTTTTAAACTGAATCACAACAGACCTAACCAGCTCTTAGGAACATCGAGAATCTATGAATGATCATATAATTCTGAAAAGTTGAACTAAGCTGACCGTAGAAAACAAAAGCAACCTTATATGTACCCATTCACAGACACTGTAGCCAAAGAGGAACTAAAATTTTAAGACAACAATGACTTATACCAAGGAAAATCCTACCCTAAAATAAATTACATCGCAACCTCTCAACATCAGAAGTGGTCCAAAGAATCTACTACGTAGAGAGTACTCGAAAGAAAAACCATGGGTTTTTTAGCTTCGGGTAATAATTCATTTTCTTTGAGGCCAAGGTTATCGGCCTGCGGTACTTCTGCAAAAACGCTGGTTTGACAAAGCGAACACAAGGCAAATTTCTGTATCTAGATAGAAAGGTAGGATTGAAGTTACCTCAACTTGAGTAGCGTAGAGTGGAAGGGTTGAGTTCCTGGCGATGAAAATAGTTTCAGGAGTTGTTGTGGGGATGATGATGTACGCCATGACAGTAAAGCTCAAATCATCTTCTTCAACTATTTTCCATTATGTGTAATCTCTTCTCAGATATTAAACAACTGTTCAGAACAGATACTACACGATCTTTTTTTTTTTCTTAACAACAAACAAAACCTTATGGTTCTGGCCCCTTATCCATTCTGGGGAGCGTCAATCAGGTTCCTATTCCACCGGCAAGGCATTTGAAATACAAATGAATTCTCACGCGATACTACACTTGATCTTAGCCAAAATGCCGAGAATGGTATTTACCTGACCCTCCTTACCACCTGAGATTATCCGATTTCCCTCTGTCGTTCCACAGATTGCTGTGACACCCTGCAACAAAGAGCGAAAAAAGAAAAACTTGAGTGCAGGTATCATGGAATCAATATAAATAGTGATGGAATGCGGTGGACTGTGATGGAATGGATTTTTTTCAGACTAACCAAAAGGCCAAAATTCGATGGCTGACCTCAGTGAGGACGCCGCCCGTTGGGCCCGGGGGGGGGGCCCGGGTAAACTGGGTGGGCCAAAAAAACGCCCAGAAATATATATATATGACGATATATATATATATATATATCGTCAAATAGAACTGCCCGGTAAACCGTAGGCAGAGAGGGAGAAGAGGACAACAAGCGAGGGGCTGTGACAAACTGTTTCGTCGGAGTTTCACCGATATATAT